GCTGCAGGCTCCTTGAGGCCAGGCAAGCATTCATGTTGACAGACGCCTGCAAGGCCCAGAGGACACCTTTCTGCGGAATTAGAGGTGGGGATGCTGAACATGAGCAGCAGAGCTGCAGCAGGGCCAAGCAGTAAACTCCACCTACTGATGAGTGAACAGAGAGATCAGAAACCTATAGGCACTGAATTTCCCCTCCTCACACCACACACACCTCACCCCAACGAGGGACCTTCTTTGCACTACCAGCAGAAGAAAGTCTGTGCTCTTCCAGCTCCTACCTCGTACTCAATAGCAAGGTCCGTGTGATCATCGATGTCCACTTTGGCCATCAGCACCTTCCCCTCCTGCTTGGCCACCATCTTCTCTAACCTGGGGCCTAGGATCTTGCAGGGGCCACACCATCTGATGGAGAAAGAACAGAGAGGACATTAGAGGAGGGAAGCACCGCAGCCTCCATTCAAAAGCCAGCCTGGAAACACCATACCCAAACCACAGTTCCACAAAGCAACTGTGAAAGAGTTTTGTGTGTGTGGCGGTGGGGCTGAGTGGAAGAGGTCACCGTTCAGCATTCGTGGTGTCATGTCATGTCATTTGGATCACACCATAATCTGCTCTGCCAGCCTTGGTGGGCGGTCCTCCTGCCCCTCTTCTCAGCCGTTTATCCCAACCATGCTTTGTGTCCTCACTGGTGGGTACGTGGAGAGCTGTGATCCTGCTGCCCACAAAGATGCCCTGGAGCCAGTGTTGCTGCTGGGTGCAGGGGTAGCAGCAACACTCAAATCAACTTCTGCCAGTTATCAGATCATAGATTTCCCTTCCACACTCATTGCAGGGTCTACAGAAATTCCCTTTAGCTGCAAAACTCACAGAGGTATCACATGTGTTCGAGGAGAGACCACTTATGCTAAACCAAGTGCAACAGCATAAGACTTTGTGAGGCCCTGTACACAGAAAACATCCCCTGCAGCCTCTAACGGCATCAGTTACGATGGTTTGAACTTACTCAGCTCAAGCAAAATGAAAGTTAAAGCTCTAAGTGCCTTTTTCTTTTAAAACGGAAGCTCTGCTAAACTCTGCTCCTCCTCAGCCTCCCTCTGCATCAGGTTTCAGGCTTTCAATTATTTGTCCTCTCCTCTCTGGCTGATCCTGGTTAACATTTGTTTTGGTTTGTCAGTTTGGTCTATTTAAAGAAGCAGTTTTGGGGCTGTTTCATACTCTGCTTGCCCAGGATCAGCCACAACAGGCTCACATGACAGCGCTGCGGGACTAGGGAAATACATGAGAAAACAAAGATAATCAGTATCATTAATCCAGCAGATAACATCTAGGAATATTTTTACTGGCAAGAGGATGACAGTGTTTTTATCGATGACGAATGCTGCTGTTGGCATCACGGGGCTGTTACTAATTCCTAAGGGCATTTACAGTCAAGAGCCCTGCCTCAAGAACACACAGCGTAGAAATCTGGAAAAACACAACGTGACAGTGCAGGGGTAACCAACTGCAGTGCTCTTCCACAGCTGTTCATATCAGTGTTTTAAAGAGGGTACTTAATCCACAAAGGGGACATCAGAGCTTTTTCTTGAGGTGTCATTTGCAGGATGATGCAACACCAGTTGGGGTGGCACCCAACCACTTGGGAGTTGCAGTTATGCTGCTCTGAGGAACGCCTTCCTGGCACTTGTGTTTTATGCTCCCGCAGGGCGTAGCTACACCTACAGTGGTGCAACTCAACAAACGAGTGAGCCCTCTATGGACTGTGATGTAGGAACAAAAGCACCTTTTAACACCAGATGCTCAGCAGGGTGGTCAGCAGCTCCACAGCCTGGGGAGCCCTTGCACACACTTGCTTCTCTGCACTGTGTCAGGAAAGCAGAAAGGCACACCTGCATGTGTGATGGATGGCAGAGAGGGGCACAACAGCCATGGGGGGGAACTTACTGTGCATGGAAGTCCACCACAACAGGTTTGGGGTTGTTCACCACCCGGTCCTGGAAGTCGCTGCCATCCTGCACATTGAAGGTGCTCTTGCAGTTTGCTGAGGCGCTGAAGGCCCTACTGTGGCGTGCCGCAGGGGCCTGTGGGGGCAGCGCCCTGGGGGTGAGGGACAGCAGCCGCCGAAGCGCCAGCCTCTGGGCCATCTGTGGGGAGAGGTGGATCAGGTATGTTGGGGTGAGTGCACCCCACAGCCAGTCCCAGTGTAGCAGTGCCTGGCTCAGAGTCCCCTCTGCGGGGCAGCCCCCAAGCCAGAAGATATCCTAGATAGACACATACGGGGCACTGCATGGAAGCTCTTGCTGTCCCTGTGCCAAACCCCTGCCACCCCGCTGCAGCTCCAGCCTCACAGCCGTGGGTCCCACCTGCCATGGAGTCCGCAGCTACAAACCCAGCTTCTGTGAGGATGCTCCCCCCGCCCTAAGCACAGGGTCCCCGTTTCCCCAGCCCTACAGAGCAGGGCCTCCCCCCCGGGCTATTGCCTTCCCCTGCACTGGGATCCCCCCTTCCCCTGACGGCGCAGGACACGGCTCCCCTAGCCAGCGGGTCCCAGCGGCTCCCACCGGTAGGACAGGCCATGCCAGCCACGCTCAGCCACCCGAACCGGTACGGAAAGACCCCCTCTCCAACCCCAGGGGCAGGCTGCCGGAGCCAGGCGGGACCCACAGGCGACCCCCAGCCGCCACGGGACACCCCACACCCAGAACCCCGCCGCCTCCCTGCAGCCCCCGCCCCGCACCTTCCCTGTCCCTGAGGTGACCCGCACGCAATCAAACTTCCGCCTGCCGCCCCCCCTACCCGCGCTCTGATTGGCTGCGGCGCAGGAACGCTGCGAACACCGGTACCACCGCCCTCACAGCTGATTGGCCTTCGCCCCGATCTTGGATTGGCCGTCGTGGCCGTCCTTTAAGCTTGGCAGGGGACAGCAAGCAATGCCACGCGGGGCGGGCCGTGAGTGCTGATTGGCGGCTGTGATCTTCCAATGGGCTGCGCGGGGCGTGGCGCGCCTCCTCCACGTGGTGGTGGCCCGGCGCCGGCCTGCGGCTCCTTGCTGCTTGGGGGTGGGCGCCGCCTCTGTGGGCATTCCGGGAAGGAGGGTTCCCTGCGCTCCCCCGGGCCAGGGATTAAATCCCTTCCAGGAAACACGCAGCAGAACCAGGCACCGGGACTAGCCTGCAGCCCTGCTCCCACGGGTGCCTGCAAACCAGTGCGGCTTGCTGCTCCCCCGCAGTGCCCCATGGGAAACCAGCCCCTGCTTGCACTCCCTCCTGTTGTCAGCTCTGGCAGAAGCAAGCCCAAACGGCACTGCTTGCTCAGCAGCACATGGAGGAGGGTAGGTTTAGATTACATATTGGGAAACAAATTTTCCCTGTTTGGGTGCTGAGGTGCTGGCACAGGTTGCCCTGAGAAGCTGTGGCTGCCCTATCGCTGGCAGTGTTCAAGGCCAGGTGGGACGGGGCTTGGAGCAACCTGCAATAGTGGAAGGTGTCCTTGCCTATGGCAGGGGGCTGAGACTGGTTGAGGTTTAACACCCCACTCTGTGTCCATTCTATGACCCTATGACCCAGATATCAGCTTGTGTGCGAAGCAGGCAGCAGTAAAACCTTCTGAAGCTGGATTACCAGATCCAACCCTGAGATGCAGGCGAAGAACATGCTGGAAGCATCGGTGGGTGCCAATTTTGTACAGATTATTTTCTGTACAAGGCGGATCACAATTTAAGGCGACACATGTGCTGTAGGCGTGCAGACTGCTGCCCCCTTGTGGGCATTTGAGGCTGGAAGAGGAAAAACCTGGGGAACATGCATGCACGTAGGTACAACGGGGACACCCTCCATGTCCACGCGCACAGGGATGAACGAGTGAAAGGGGTTCTTTAGTGACAGCCAGTCAACCCAGTTCAGTCAGACAATCCCAAAATAAAGAGCCAATAGTACCACGGATGTAGGAAGTAGTGGCACCCCCAGACTGCTACAGGCCACAGGAGCCAGACCGGCCTTAGAGCTGTGGCAATGGGACATAAGCCCATGGAAGGATGCTGACTAATGCACATTGAGAAGTGATTGTGTCCCCCTTCCAGCTGCATGTGAACTTCTAAGATCTCTGAGCAGAAGAAGTGTTCTCACAGAGGAGCAAGAATTCACTTGCCATCTTCCTCACCTCTTCTGCTCCCCAGCCTCTGAGCAGGGTAGAAACTGGGACTTTACAGAAACAGCAAATGAATTTGAAGGATTAGGGGAGTTTTAGGACTCCCCCACTCTGGAAGCACTAGAGAGGAACATTCCTCTAGATGCCCAGTGGTTGGAAAACAAGTGCTGAAGCAAAAAGCCCGTTACCTTTTGCCCCTCCTCCATTTCCTAGAAATCAGAGAGACATCATAATGTCAAGCTCGAAACTGCTCTCGCTTTTCAGCTTCAGTGGAAGGAGCCCACAGAGAGGTGACAGACATATGCATGTGGCTTACAGAAGGAGCAATAAATGCCAACAGCCTCCAAGTCAGTGCCAGCATGCTCTCAAAGTAACAGGAGAGGGAATAAAATACAGAATGAGCATTTTAATGACATCAGTGTCCACCCAAAACTTTCTTGATGACATAGTGTAAACAGGAGAACTATTGGTCATGCTTTATAAAACACAAGGGCTAACCTTTCAGGGTGCTTGGGGTGGGAGAAGAGAAATGTGAGAAGAGTGAAGCTGAACCCAATGTAAGTCTCTCTGTATCTGGCATTCCAGGCAAGCTGCTCATCCTTCCTGAAGGAAGAAATGACAAATTATCTGACCTATAAAGTCAGTAAAACCCACCCATCTTCACTCAAGCTGCACACCTGCCCTAACTGAAAGGCAGGAAAAGTACCAAGGAGTGTGTCTGGAGTGCCACTTGGGGATTCAGCACAGAAACAAACCTTCAAGTATACACAGTGTACGGTACTCCAGGACTAGAGAGCCCGCACTGGCCTGCGTGAGTACCAGCAGGTCACCTCCGGCATGGGACATGACATTGTAAGTTACGCAGCCGATCCTGCACTCTCTTCTGTGACCCCTGGAAGTCACTGCTGGTACTGATCCATGAGATAAACACCAACACCGTCTTCAAGCGACTCTGAACTCTGCAAGGATAACACGGGAGCCTCAGCATAGCTGGATTTTAGCCCCTTGCTTATCATTTAAAGCACGTTGGTCCTCTTTGTAACAGCAAGATCTGAGCAGGTCTTTGGCAACTCATGATCAGTGGAAGACATGAGGATGGAGAAGGTGCATGGGGCAGGGCAGAATCCTGCTGCGGATCTCTGTTACAGTATTGTCACAACAGCACCTTCGAGTTTCAGTGTGGAGTGAGAAAGGTTAAAGCTCATCCTTGGCATTAACGAGATGCTGCAGCGGACGAACCGATATGACATGATCTCTCAGCAGTTGGTCCTGTGACCCTTTGTGGCTGTCAGGGGGTCTGTCACCCATGAAGTCTGTGATGCTGTAATCCTGCAGCAGGCCAGCTTCTACGGCATGGCGCCAGAGCCCCTCGCTCCCCTCCAGACCTTGCATTCTCATGTAGCCCTGACGACAGAAGGGAGGCAGCTTCTGACGGGTGAAGGCAAACAGGAAACAGGACTCTGTGGGGGAAAAGGATCAAATACCAGACTCAGCAGAGATATCCTGCAGAGAAAAATTCCCATAAACTTTTGAGGACTCATTCAAAACAAAAAGCAGAGAGGATGAGGGAAGGCAACCAGAGTTTCCCACCCAGTACCCTGCCCTGGATGGCAGCAGGGTAATGGATTTCATTTTGCAGAGTTCAGAAGATGCAGGGTGGGAGCTCCAGTTCGTGCTCTGAGAGGAAAAGGAGCTGGATTTGAACTTGCAGCCCTCTGGCATGTTCTTTGTATCCGCCTCTGTGTGTCATGTGGACGTCCTGCAGGAGGTTCCCAGGCCAGCAATCCAATTTCCCATCATCAGTATGTGAAAAGAGATCTGGTACCCAGTGGCATAAAGGAACATTCAGATAATGGAGGTGGAAAGAAAACTGAAGCTAGAAAAGGGATTGAACCCAACCTCATACACCTTTCCCTAATCTGGGTGCACCTGGGCAGTCTTTTTCTGGTGGTGAGCAGGAACAAAGAGTATTTGGGAACATACACACAGCACCAGCATTTTTTACTATCTGGAGAGTGCATCAAAGAGGTGTGACCGATGGTGAGACCACCAGCACGCCATGGGTTGATCTCAGCTCTTTGCAGATCACTCCTGTTGCATGTCCCTCACATCCCTCCTCCTCCTCCTGCCACCTCTATCCTGTGCACAAATTACCTGCAAAGAAATTGCGCAGGTCCGTGCTGAGGCAGTTCTCCAAAAACCGCCTCAAGGGCAGGATGTGAGCATTTGGAGCCGTCCAGTCTGTCAGAAAGTCCTCCACAATGTGATGGATGGCATCAGGGCGAGGGAGAGGCCAATCTGGGGGCCGAAGTTTCATTTCAAGCTCTGCCAAGAGAACATTAAGGGAATCTCTCAGAATCAAAACAGCATTAAAAAGTGCCTGGGCAATACAAAGCAGCCACCACAGCTGTTTCAGCTTTTATCCTGACCTTTTAATCCCTACCTGACTTTCATTTGCAATCCCCTCTGTTAGCTTTGTCCTCAGCAACCCTGCCACTGCACAGCTGCCCCTTGTCCCTGCCCACAGTATTCCTGTCATTTCACTCCTGTTTCCCCTGGCAGGGACTGTCAGACGGACTGAGCTCCTTTCAAGCTTTAATGCTGCTACCCATCGTGCTGCTTCTTGTGCAAGGCAGGCTGGACCCTGACCCTAGGTTTCTGGAGATGAAGATTCAGCACAGTAATTTCCCAAGGAAATCTATTCTGAGTGCATTTGTTTGCTGGCTGTAATACTCATCTTCAAACCCCTGCCTCTGGCTGCCTCTCACTGTGTGACCTCTCAGACCTGAGCAGGCCACAGAGAACAGCCTTCTTTTGGTGCTAACACTGAAAAACCCAGGACTCTGCAAAATAAATAACGTGCCAGCCAAAGGGAAGCAGTGTTCCTCTTTCTGGGAACAGAAAAATTCCCAGTGTGCCTATTTGTTTCTATTCTCAAATGTGAGGTCTTTGGTACAACTCCCCCACTGTGCATCAGTCTGACTGATGGAAACTTCTTGCCAGCTCCCAGCTTTTTTTTCAGCTCACACAGTGGTGGTGGGTGCCCCAGAAGATGGACATGAAAGAAGCAGAGGAGAAGGGTGTGCAATTCCTTTAGGTCCCACCCCCTTCTTTGGCAGTGAAGTGTATTTATCCCTCGCAAGTTTTGCTAGTATCAGGTAACTCAAAGGAAAGCTTACCTGTTGGGAGGTGTTTGTAAAAGTAAATAACAGGGTGCAAAAAGTTGGACTGCCAGGCATGCTGTGCCTCTCCCACAGCTCGGTTGTAGTAGAAGACATCCTTGTCAGCCCCAGAGAAATTTTTCCCATACTCCATGATGACGACAAACAGCCCACTGGGAGCCTTTCTCCCTGTCTGCATTTCCAGGTCAGCCAGGATTCCAACTGGGTACTCTTCCAGGTATTCAAATGCTGTGGCATTCCTGTGAATTACAACCACAACCACCAAATTTTTCCGTTAGAGAAAAGCCAGCTGGGATCCAACATCCCCTCAGCTGGTCCAGGCTAAGGCCAAAAAGCCATCAGATGCACTGCTCAAGGAAAGCTTCTTCCTGGGGACAGTAGAAGAGTATTACTCCTCTGAGCCTAAAGAGAAGGTCCGGACCTTTTCAGCCCTTTAAGAGAGGGAGGTAACTGGCAGAATTGGGCATACTGGCATAAATTTTGGCAGTGGTACAAGTTTTGAGGTGGCTGCTTACATGACTTACATAACATCCTTAGGCAGCAATGGAGCAATTTATGTGGTGGCAACACGGGAAGCAGTGGTTGAGAAAAAAGGACTGAAATGATGGAGTGCAGTGCTGGGAATAATTACTCACTCACTCTCTCAGCAGTATGATGTCAGCCAGGACACTGAACATCTGGTAGAGGCCCGAGGCCTCGTTCACCCTCTTGATGATGGAATTGGTCAGCTGTGTAACAGGGTAGACTGTGGATGGCCAGGGGACACCATGGTGACGCTTTTCCAGTAGGCGGTGAACTGCACGAGCTAAGACATGGGGAGAAACAAGGACACCTTATTAACACATCCAAGCTTACTTCAGAAATCACACAGATAACTGACAGGGCACAATAAATAAGCTTTACAGCTCATCTGTGCTTAGGATCTCCCACCCCAATTGCTGGTAACTGCAGCGGAGATGCCCTCTGAAAGCTGATGCGATGCTAAGTGGTTGGTGAGCAGGCGGGGAGGGGGAATCCTAAGGGATGTTTCATTACTTCTGAGTAGTCTTAATGATAAGGATGAGCACATATATAAAGACAGAAATTCTCTACTGGCCAAAGCCACTGGGTTTTAACTCCACAGCACAGACCTCTCACCCACAGCCTGTCACGAGGCAGAGCGTCTGGCAGGCAGAACTCTATTGTGTTACATAAGTAAGAGACAATGGGCAAAGAGAAACACAAGACAAAACAAAGACAGATAACCCAAAACTTCAGATATGACCCCAAGTCACTTCTCCTCCACTTCAGATGATGCAGCTGCAGCTTGGCTGTGTTTTGTTGTCTTACGGCCAGCCGTAAGCTATGAATTGTTCCTTCGAAGGGAGGACCAATTGCCATCTCTGTCCCTTTTGTACACCCCAGTACTCACTTGTATACCGGAATCCATGGATGAAGCCCCCAGCAGATTTCCTGAAGTCAATGGAATGGCTAGCAGTGCCAAGAACAAAGAGCCCTTGGGTGCTTGTGGACTCGTAATTGGGTTTGATCTCAGGATACTTCTTTTTGTCTCCTTTCCCTGGCATCATTTTAAGGGATCTGATGTGCAAAAGACAAGCAAGAGCAGACTGTCAGAAAGGGCTTGGGTGAAAAAATAGAAGGGGTTTCTGATATTATATACACATTATATTGCAGCCACTGCAAGACACTGCTTCATGCCCCCAGTGTCTTCAGTGGGATTTACTACTTCAATGAGGATCTTCCAGAAGACAAGGGTGCTCATCCCAAGTTAGCTCGGGACAAGATCAAATTCCAGCCTGAGCTGCTGACAGTGAATTTTAGAAGACAGTGAAGTTAAGAGTACCATTTTGATCTCCTGGATGTACTAGGAGACAAACCAAGGTAGAGTGAAGGTGGCAACCTCAGGGGAAAAAAGCAGACAACACCTTTCTGTAGCAATCTGTACCTGTACTATCATTCAAAAAAATCCCAACCCAAACCACAGAACACTGCTCACCCTATCCATGTGATCTGGCAGGTCAGGTTATCAATTTCTAAAGGTACAGGTTTTTCTGTGTTATCCAGGTCTCAACACGGCCATTTGCTCAGCCCTGCAGCCTGTCTGGGACAGTGGCACACACAGTGGTTCCCACTGCGACATAGCTGTAGCTGCAGCATCAACAAAGGACCAGCCACCTCAGAGCACGTGGAGGTCTAAGCAATGCTGCCAGAAGAGGACCTGCTCTTCCCTTTCCTCTGTACTCCAAATACCTGCTTTCCTGAGATTCTGTTTCCTCCTCACCTGTTGTAGATAGAGAAGTCAAACTTCCACCCCAGGCAGCGGATGACACGGTCGTAAGGTGCGCGGGGGGCAAAATTATCCAGTTCATCCTGCGGGAGGGTGATGGAGTCAATGCCTGCACTGATGTTACTGTTCTCCAGGTAGAACCGAAGCGTGATGTGTAACTTCCCTTTCTTGTCCTTGATGATAGCCAGGTCTTCCAAGTCACCCTCCAAAAGCCCATCCAGAGATTTTAGCTGGTATGTGTCCAGCAGGCCATTGTTGATTGCTCTGTGGTAAGAAAAGGAGAATGTAAGAAGAGCTAAAAGAAGGGAGGAGAGGTTCTGTCTCCACTGCTGAAAACAGCAAACCTTTACCAGGTATCCCACATCCCTCTTCAGTGCAAAGGTTATCCCCAGAGCCTCAGGGCTCACAGGAACAGCACAGGTAACACACCTTCACTGTCCTTGCAGGATGTAGTCAACCGCTCAGCTCTCCTCTGTGACTGCAAGCAAGGGAACAACTTAGGACCCAGCACTATTTTATGACACTGTTTCCAAAGAGATACTTTCCTATTTCACATAGATCCTGAAGAGCTCTCATTAAGCTCCTGCGTTCACCAACTGCATCCTGGACTGCCTTAAACCAAGGGCCTAAAGCTAAAAGGCCCTGTATTTCTTCTGCGATGTGCGGGACCACAAGCACCTCCAGTGCCAGTCCGGCTCATTGCCTGAGCAAGAAGTGATTGTCCAGGTTCATACTCCAGCTGCATTAGAAAAGAGGAAGAGAAGCGGTTTCCTACCTCAGATCCCCGACGTAGTGGGTGGCCCACGACAGGCGCACGCGGGACCGGCTCACCATGTGGATGAAATTCGTGACGCCCAGAATGTTCTCTGCTGTCTCAAAGGCCGAGTTCCCTCGACCCAAGATCAACACTGTTTGCCCAGTGAAATCCTCAGGGTTGGTGGACACAGTCTCGTAACCCTCAACGTATTCGGAGCCAGGGAAGTTTACCACGTTGGGGACCCATGTCCCAGTGGCAACCAACAGGCAGCTGCAAAAACAGGGATAGCACTAGAAAATGCAGCAATTACGGGACCAGGGACCATTACTCTGTCTCATCACTCCATCCTCCTGCTATGGAGGATGGCTGTGATGTAAATCCTGCAGTCACACTGGATCAGCTGCAGAGGTCATAGTTTCAAAAGAAACTTCTTCCCAGCTTCACCTATTGAGCTGCTCCTCTTTTCCCCACCCTCAGGCCAGCAATGACAACTAGAAATATTGTTATATATAGCAAAAGTCAGTGTGGGTGCTGTACATAAACACAGAATCATAGAATCAATTAGTTGGAAAAGACTTTCAAGATCATCAAGTCCAACTGTTCAACCAGCACTGACAAGGCCATCACTAAACGCCGTGTCACTGAGGGACTCATCTACCCGGTTTGTGAACACTTCCAGGGATGGTGATTCCACCACTGCCCTGGGCAGCCTGTTCCAATGCCTGAGCACCCTCTCAGTGAACAAATTGTTCCTAATGTCCAATCTAAACCTCCCCTGGTGCAGCTTGAGGCCTTTTCCTCTTGTCCTGTCACTTGTTACTTGGGAGAAGAGACCAGTCATCTCTTCTCTCCATTCTCCTTTCAGATAATTGTAGAGCGCAATAAGGTCCCCCTGAGCCTTCTCTCCTCCAGACTAAACAACCCCCGTTCCCTCAGCCGTTCCTCAACAGACTTGTGCTCCAGACCCTTGACCTGCCTCCACTGTTCAAGAATGCGCAAGTACTACTTATATGTACTCACTGAAAATAGATATAATACTAAAGTTTTAAAGGTGATTCTATGTTGCATAAAAGGTTACTTTGATTTAAAATTTGTGTTGCCCTTTAGTCCAGCAAAACAAAAGTAGTTTTTAAGGGGGATAGAAAGTGATTTTGATATTTAAAACCTTTAACTTGTAGCCATAAAACCACGTTAGCAATGTCACTAATTGCTAACACTAAAGTGAAATATAGTAATCTTTTTATCTTTCGCTGTAAATTTTCCTTAAATCTTAGGCAAAACTTTGTGACTTGTATGGAAACACCAGGCAGCCGAGGCTAGAGGTACTGCCTGCTGTTCCAGTCCTGCTCACGCAGCTCCTGGTGCGTGGGTGCCTGGGATTGCCTTCTGTCCCCACCAAGCTTGCCTGCCAGCTCACCTCCAAATGAGAGTCAGCAAACCTGCTGTCGTGGAGCTGAGCTTCCAGGAGAGGTGAGAAATAAACTCCGTATGTTTACTTGAGGAACTTCTAGGGTTTTAGGAATGGAGCTCAGCAGTGTTACAGGATACACACGATCATAGAATGGTTTAGGTTGGAAAGGACCTTAAAGCTCATCCAGTTCTGGCCCCCTGCCATGGGCAGGGACACCTTCCACTAGACCAGGTTGCTCCAAGCCCCCTCCAACCTGGCCTTGAACACTGCCAGGGATGGGGCAGCCAAAGCTCCTCTGCACAACCTGTGCCAATGCCTTTGAAGACACCCATGGAGAGTGGCGTCCCTAGCCCTGCATTTGCCCATTACCTGCACTTGTAGTTCCGCCTGTCCTGATCAGTCAGGATGAAGTAGTGCCCATTCCAGGCCTGCTCATCCCTCTCCAGCGTGACATGGATGATGGCCGTGTTGTACTGAACCCGCAGCTTCAGCAGGGAAGCAAAGTCCTCCAGGTAACGCACCATCTCGTCAGCGTTGGGGTAGAAGTCACGCGAGTAGTGCCGGAAAAGCAGCCGGCGGTCGTGACTGAGGAGAGAGTTCCAGTCATGGCGCAGGTTGAACTCGCTGTTGGATTTGCCCGTGTAGCGCTTGTTGATGCTGATGAGCTTGCGGTGGCGAGGGTAGAGGGCGAAGAAGCTGCCGGGAGCGTGGCTCCGCTCAAAGACGACGTAGTCTCGGCCGGCTCGTTGGAGGAAATACGCTGCCTGCAAGCCCGAGGGTCCTGCCCCAATGATGCAGTAGTCGTGGTAGACCAAAGCGGTGCAGCTCAGCACACACAGGCTGCCAGCGTACAAGGCCAGGCCCAGGAGCACCCCGCACACTGCTGGGGTCATGGCGGGGCTGGGGCAGCCGCCCCTGTGGGGGAGAGGACCGGGTAGGTGTCACACAAGGGGCGAGAGACCCTGGCCCCGGTGTGGCCGCCATGAGGCCATCACCACCCCTCAGGGCCCAGCGTGGGGTGTTGCGGCGGGGCCCTGTTCCCTGCCAGCCAATATCAAAATGGGCCACAGGTCAGCCGACCAATGAGCACACAGGGCCCCCAACCCCAACCAATAGCAGACAGCATGAGGCCTGCAGGTAGCAACAACACCTGTGGGCTAACGGCCGCAAGCCCCTCATTGTGCCGCTGCAGCCCAACAGCCAATAGGGAAAGGGACTCATAAACCCCCCACCCAATGGGGTCCGGCCTCGGCCCCGACGCCTTCTCCCGCCGCCCCTCGCCCAATGGCGACCCGCCCGCACCGTTCGCACCAGCGGCCGCACCTGCACCGCGGGGCTCGCGCCGCTCCCCGCCTCCCGCGCCGAGCAGCAAGTGGGGGGGGATGGGGGGGGGAGGGCGCGCAGGGCGCGTCACGTCACGTCACGTCACGTCTCGCCGCCGCCGCTTCCCGCCGCCGGCACCATGGCGCCGCGGTGCGCGTACCACGCGTGCGGGGAGGGGCGGGGGGGAAATAGAGACAGTGGGCGGGGCAACGCGCTTAAAGGGGCAGGCGCCGCAGGGGATTGGAGCCAGGCCCCGGCCCGCACACACGACACGGCAGCGACACTGAGCCAAAGTCACTTTATTGCCTCGCGGTGCCGCCGACGAACCGCCGGTGTGAAGGGAGAGGGGGAGGCCAGGGCGCTCATGCCCTCCTCGGGCAGCCCGCAGGGTTCAGCTCTCTTCCTCTGAAAGAGATGAGACAGGAATGAAGTGAATGCACCTGGTCAAGGAAACACCACAAGGAACGAGAGGGAACCAGGGATCCATCCCACCTCCGTGTGCCTGACACCCCCCGAACAGAGCTGTCAGCCAACACCATGAATTTAGAACAACAGTGCAATTACATTCCTGGACAAATGCTGCAGAGACCTAAAATGCCACAGTGGGAACTAAGTCTATAGCTCCCACCCCTGCAAGAAACACCAAAAACTTGCTGATAGACGTCTTGTGTATCACAGAAACAAGATCTCTGGGTCAAATGTTTTTGCTGTTGCCCACTGCAGCACAATCAGCCCTCTGGAACTCCTCAAGGACCTGCTAGTCACCAGAGCTTCACCAGTTGCATTACTGAAGCCTTCCCTGAAACACCTCAGTCAGCCTGGGTCACCATGTGTTCTGAACGCACTGACCTAGTCACTTCTGTTTCTATAACTGTACTAAACAAATATGCTGGTACGAGCAGAAACACGCACCCACCCACTGCCACTGAACAAAGGGCTCCCATAGCAGGCTTTGTTTTCCCAGTTGGTGCTCTGAGTCCTCTCCCCAACCCCTGCCAAATGAGTCCTCACTTAGCATCCACACCAAGGCATGACATCTGCCTTGCCAACTGTCAAGCTCTTCTTGCCTCCATCTGAGCTCTCCCAGCGTCACCCACAGCTGCTCCACCACTGAATACCATCCTCTGGACTGCAGGTTCTCCAGCCTCACTCCTCTCCTGCCATTGCACTCATCAGATCTCACCATTTAGACTGGGTCTTCACCACAGGTCACCCCTTTTCACCCAGACCAGATCATCTCTTTAAAGCATGTATCTCCAAATTTGCTACAAACCTTCTTCCTCCTCCTCTTCCTCTTCATCTTCCTCATCTTCATCAGAGCTGAAGGTGCCATCGGGCAAGCTGTAGATCCGGATCACCTGCTTGTTGGGATCCTTCAGGATGAGGTACTTCCCCTCATCCAGCTTCATGCAGATGTCAATGACACATCGCAGGATGCCCCAGGCGTTCTCTATGCTCAGGTTAATCTGGCTGGCAAACTCATTTGGCTTGAACTGCTGTGTGCCCAGGATCACATGGCGGGCAGAGTCCTTCACGTGGTAGCGGGACACATACCTTTGGAGGGCAAGAAGAAACCAGAGGGATATCAGGAGATTAAGCCCAGCCAAGAGAATGACAGCAAGAAAATCAGCACCATCACCTTGGTTTTCTTTCCTGGGCTAAACAAAAAAACTAATACTCCCAACACTGAAAGTTAAGAGGATCTCCTCACTACAAGGTGACAACCAGAAACGTACCTGTAATCCTTCCACCACCCCAAATCAGATGGGGTGGTACAGAAGATTCAGCAGAATTAGTCCCACAGGTAAAAATTAAGCAGTAACATGATTAGCAAGGAGTTATGGAATTAAGCAGCTGCAAATGCATCAGTCCCATATCCAAAGATTGAATCTGGAACTGCTGAACCACCAGACCCAAATTAGCAGACAGCTTTTTTTCATTATCCACAGCATGTACCCAACTGATTTCACACTGCCATTTCAAAAAGTGCTGTGGCTATACCCCTCCACCGTATCTCCCAGCAACAGGACCCTGAGGATCTCAAATTCCTGACAGCCAGTACAGTCTCTGCATTTATTTCTATGTTGGCAAAAGAATAGTAGAATGGTTTGGGCTGGAAAGGACATAAAGACCATCCAGTTCCAAACCCCCTGCCATGGGCAGAGACACCTCACACTAGACCATGTCACCCAAGGCCCTGTCCAACCAGACCTTGAACACTGCCAGGAATGGTGCACTTACCACTTCTCTGGGCAACCTGTTCCAGTGCCTCACCATCCTCACAGTAAAGAACTTCTTCCTTATATCTAACCTGAACTTCCCCTGTTTAAGTCTGAACCCATTACCCCTTGTTCTATCACTACTGTCCCCGATGAAGAGTCCTTCTCCAGCATTACTGTAGGCCCCTTTCATATACTGGAAGGCTGCTATGAGGTCCACAGAGCTTCTCTTCTCCAGGCCGGAGCAGCCCCAATTATCATCCTAATCATGTAACGATGCTTTGAAATGTTATGGCTAAACATGTGTGACACCTCCAAAGGTCAGTCACAGTGGAGGACACAACAGCTGGATGCTGAGGGGAAGTGGCTCACACCAGAGCCAGTGTGCTCACTGCAAACCTTCCCCTTCTGGCCATGCAAAACATGGGATGATACTATGATTATTCATTCTGCAGATGGTTCTCTTGGATATACATGCTGGGTTACCTCATGGGAAATGCACCTGCAAGATGCCTGGTGTGAGAACGCCATCTTACCCGAGTTTAAGATACTCAGATCCAGCCAGCAGCGCGCAGCAAGTCCAGCGGGCTAACTTGTAGCTGTTGTTTTTCAGCTCTGTGGCAATCACAGCTCCCCTCTGAGAGTCAAGCTTCTGGCGCCAGTCTACTCCATTGCAATACTGAGAGGGGAATCAAAGCAAGGGTCAGCCTAAGAAGCCAGCAGCAGTCATCTCTTCTGCCACCTTGACATCACACAGGGAAGTTTTTTGTCTACCTTATGGTATCATGTGAGGGAATGCCAACAGCAACGTGCAAGGAAAGCTCTTGCACTGGGAAGGGGAGTAATGTGAACCACAGGTATTGGTCAATGTTTGTGGCACTGGTTAGGAAGGGAAGCTTGTGAGGGAAGAGTTCATGGGAAGCATGGGAACAGACTGGCTACTGTGCTCAACACCTGGGACAAGAGGGTTCAAACCAGCTACCTCACACCTGGGGGAGAACCCCACCAGCACTGCTTGTCCACCAAAGTTATAGTCCTTTGGTGGAACATAACCACCTGGGTGACACCACCAGATGTTTATCTCATCTTGCCTGCTGTACCTGGCAGGTCAGGCAGCAGTGCAGCTGTTAGAGCTAGCTTTGGGATCAGGTTCTTCCTCACCCTGGAATCCCACTCGTTCAGCGTTTTGATGTTGATGAATGACACCTCTCCATTAGCTCCTGTCATCACTCCATCATGCTCACAGCGGACAATGAGATCTATATCATCTCCCAGCTTCCACCTTCGGTATCTGCCAACAAACAAATCAGAAGGTTATTTCTGACTCTTGTTCTTACCCAGACCTATGCAAGTGCTCAGCAAAATCCTTTTCCCCTTGGATGTCCTGTGAGAACATCCAGGAACCCCACTCATGGCAAAGCTTCTATCAGTAACACCCTCAATTTGTTTTCTCCATATCACGCTGACATCCTGCCCCCTTGCCAAACCTGGGCATCAGAAAAATATCAAGATACCTGTAAGCAACAGATGCTACTTCATTTTTATCCATGTCATCCTCTACAAAGGGGTTTGGGTTGGGAAACTTGTATTTCTCCTTTCCCTTCAGGACAAAAGAGAAAGGCATGTTAGAATTAAAAACCCAAGGCAGCTCTCCCCTAGGGGATAAATATTCCTTTACAGCAACAGAAGCCCATTTCCCTTATATAAAAAATGCTAAGCCAGTAAAAGAGCTGATGAGAAGCCTCATTTTCACATTAGTCACTTCGCTGTAAGCAGTACTTCTACTGGCACTTTGGCTTCACTAAGCATACTCAGAAGCTTGTCTGCTTCATCAGTAAGAGTGGGGTTTCTTTTTTTGTGGAATAAAGGTGAGAATCTTTCCACAATAAAGTCATGTTGCTCATAGCAAGTAATCCCACCTCCTTCCAACCTGAAAGAGCATCAGCGTCATGTACTTATGCCAATTAAAATGCTTGTGTGCTATTACAGCAGCCTTAACAAAGCCTCTTCTTGAGGCTCTCTCACAGGCTTGACTACCCAGCACTGCTCGACCTTACCATCCTCAGGCACTGCTGGGAGAAGTTGTGATTGATGTAGGTAGCTTCCATGGCAAGGTTGCGTGGAGAATTAAAGGAGTTGCCCTCTTCCTGTGGTGGTTCATTGGCTGTTTCACTCACTGTCAGGAGGTCTGGGAAGAAAACCAGATACAAGTGGTTATACTTGGGGGAATAACTACATCAGCTTCAGTGAGTCTCTAGCTCCACACTGGAGCAGATTAATACTGAAGTCTTCTGCTGTATTCACATTGCTCCAGGAGTCTCAGTCTCAATGCTGAGACACAGAATAAACTCCAAAAGAAAAGCATAAAGAAAACTTTAGCTACTGTAACAGAAATTTCTTTCATGACTTTTCCTTACCAAAATCTGAATTGTCCCTCTTGTCAAAGAAAAGCTTGGATCCAACTCTCTGGACAATGATGTCCCAGGAATAGACGGAACGAGTGCAGCTCATCAATGTGGCCAGGATGGCATCTGTGGCAAATACATTCCCTTGGGTCTTGGCCAGCTACAAACACAGAAGGAGAAATCCGTTTCAGCAACAAGAACAGACAACCTTAACCTTTCCCTTTCCCAGCAAGGATGAGAAGAAATTAATGATCTGGTTTGCTAACACTTTTCCCATGCTGAGGAAGTTACACTAATAGGTATACCACCAACTGCTAGAGAAAGCATTAGGTACTATCCAGCAATCCAAGCCAATCCTCAGTCAAACAAGGAAAAGGTAAGAAATGTATCACAAAATGTGAGTCCTGTTGGGAAAAGGCATGGCTCCTC